GAAAGTAATCGGTCCAAAACCAGGGCATGCTCCCTCTAATCCAAAATTATGGTTGAGGAATTTTTATTTTATTTTTTTATTAAAAATTTAAAGATAATTTATCTTTTTTACTTATATTATATTTTTAAAAAAAATAAAGAAAATTTTTTATAATAGAATGCATAATTAAAATCAAAAAATAATTTAATTAATAAAACAACCTGAACAAAAATCTAACACTAATCTAATAATTTTTGAAGTTAAGATTCACTTACTCTCAAAACCTTAAACTTAAATTATTAATAATAGTTAGTTATAATAATTACATAATTATTACACAAATACTTCTCATCTGATGTAGGAATTGGTGCATCACAATTACAGTTAAAGGAGAAAAAAATTTAGAACCTTGATTGGTGCACACGGATTCAACACCCGGGTGTGTACCCCACATAAAAAAAAAAAAATTTGGATCGGGTGGTGATGGGCTTTTTTTTTTTCAATGGAGAGTGTGCACACCCGAGTGTGTACAAATCATTTTCCAAAAATTTATCTCTCTTTAAATATATAAAAAATATAATATTATGACAAATTTTAAGTAAAAAAATTAATCCTTCTATTCGAAAATAACTATCCTTTTTATTTTAAATTGATTTCAAATTAATTGTCATTTTTTATTTTTCAAAACAAAATAAATATTGTTTTTTCTACTATAACCCTTTTATTATTCATTCACTCTAATTAATCATTTAATTAATAAAAAAAAAGTAAAAGCATTATAAATAAACATAAAATATTTTTAAAATTTTAATTTAAAAAATTAAAAAACAATAATTATTTTAGAAAAGAGAAATAGGTGGAGGGAGTATCTACATGCAGCCAGCCAACCAGCCAGCTGTAACCTCACTGCAGGTAAAGATACGGAGCTGCGTTCTTTATATAACTTTTTTCCAAATATTCTTCGCAGCCTTATTTTAATTTGACTTTGTTTTCCAAGTGAAAACAAATTCAGCCACTGCTCTACCTATTAATTTAGTACATATTCTTCATGCAAGGGAGAATAAATATTGATTTAGTACATATTTTAAGTAAAAAAAAAAAAAAAGAAACCTAACTATTATTCTTGTAAGTGGACCTTTAGGCTTATATCATGTATCCGACTCTATAACCCTTTTTTCCAACTTTGTTAATTGAGGCTAGTGAGTGCAGTAGTGATCAAGCTCTCCACCTACTCTATGACTTGAGATCCAACTTTATAACCTTATATTAAATAGAAGTTTCTAACCTCCTTCCTCCCAAAAAAACCGTAACTTATATCTTTTCTCTTTTTTTGTTTTTTGGTGGCAGGTTCATAAGATCTTTTTAGATATGCTCTGTCATTTTAGAACTTGTCTAGCTGTTTTTCATTCAATTTTTTTTTTTTTTTTTAGATTTTTAATAAAAATGTTTATCATCTTTGGGTTTCTAATTGAGATTTCGCTGCAGTCATTGATTTATAATGTATGGTGTTTATTGATCCTCTATAACATTTAATCTAAATATATTTTTCAAGTAAATCTAAAAAATAAGACACAGCAAGCAACCAATAATCTCAAATTCAAGTTTTCTCCATCTCTGGGTTTCCTGATTAGTTGTCAAGATTTGTATTATTGGGGATTGCATAAAGGTTGGGGTTCCCATCTTTTCCATAGTTTTCTTATGTATTATATAAAAATCGCATAATGATGGATTCAAATAGAATTGGATACATACACTTGTATGATCTGTTTTACCCTGCTGAAATCTTGTTGTTGAGTTGTTTAAGAGCTTTATATTATGAATGCAATTTCTATTTACCTATAAAAAAATTAGAAATTTATAATTTGATTTGTTATATATACTAGAGAAAAATGAGTATATAGTAGTCTTTTATCTTTTAAAAAATTAGAAATAATTTAAAATTTTAAAATTATGTCATTTTAATAAATTAATACTCATAAAAATTACAAGAAAGGAAAGGAAAGGAAAGGAAAGAAGAGTGGAGAGTGAATATTGATGACCTATTTGTGATGGCTCTAATGATTTTTCTGGGGAAGGAAAGGAGAGAAAAGTGGAGAGTGAATACTGATGACCTATTTGTGATGGCTCGAGTGATTTTTCTCTCCTTGGTGGGAGGTGATGGCGGGTTGTTTTCGAAGGAGGTTTTAAAGGAGTTGAGCATTGATGATCCTGCAGGATTGGTGCTCGAGTTTCGTTGGGCACTGCCTGTGGTAGAGGGTTATGGTCTGAGTGTAGGAAAGTTAGTGTTGAGAGAAAGCCTTTTTGGTTTCCGTGGTTGGGGTGTGAAGGAGATTATGGCGCAAAGAGCAGAGTTTCCTTGTACTGACCATCGGATCTCGATTGGGAGAGAGGTTTTGCTATTGTGGCAATGGTTCTTTTGAAGGTTGTGTTGGAGAAATTTTCAAAATAGAGGAAAGAAGACAATGGTTGGGAAAGAACATAAATGAAAATGTGTCTTTTTATGTTAAAACTTTTAAAATAGAAGAAATATGTCTGTTAAAAAAATGTTTTTTCATCAACAGACACTTATAGCCTTTAAAAATTGTCTTCATCCTTTTGGAATAGTGATTCCAATTTGGATAACACATACAATATCTTGTCATTTTTCAATATAAAACAATCTCCTTTTGTGCAATGATTGCTGCAAAATTTCTTATATCAAAGTGATAGTTTTACCACTTAAAGAAGTGGGATTTCAATGGTTAGTTATATTAGTGCAAGGCATAATTGACAAGGTTTCATTGTATCCTATAGGCATTTTTAGTTAATCCCTTGCATACCGAAATAGTAAGAGGTAAAAATAACCTAAAAGAAAGTAGTATTTGCAGCACATTTCAAAGTCAATAATCTATTTTCTAACCCCCAAGATCCAACAGGTTGATGTGCAGGAGCAGTAGGCATTGGTGGCAGATGAGGCTGTGGCTACTATTTTCTCAACAAAAAATCAAGCCGGGACCAATTTTTAAGAGAGAAATCTTCATATAAGATTTAAGTCTTTTGATTTATTATTATTATTATTTTTGAGATATGCTATGATTTGGGAGATAATGTGAGGAAAAAAAGGAAGAAAATTAACTAAAAAAAGATTTGCTTCCATCTAAATCAAATCTTTTAATTTACTGAGTGTTTTTTTTTTTTTTTTGACTTAAAGTAATATAAGGTTTTGGACTAATTCAAATTATTTATTA